TGGTGAAACACAGGGAAGATAACCAGCAGGGAACTTAGATGATTACGGAGTAAACCCCAATAAAAAGTGAAACTGATCCTGCCCTACCTGTGTGGAGATATTCTCAACATAGCCTGGAAAACCCTCAACCTTTAGGCTGACATACTGCCTACTGAAGCAGTCTCCACTCAAAGGATCTACAAAGTGCTGCCAGACAGACACTGACAACTTCATATTGAGATTGCAAGAGGCAGAAAGCAGGGAGTCTTGAACAAGATTGCAGGGGAGTCCTGTTTCTCTAGTCTAAAGAGAAAACAGCCTATGGAAGCAGGATAATATTACAATATTTTTGCATACTGACTTTTTATGGAACATCAAACAGTTCCCTCTTGCTGTGACACAGAAAAGGAAAAATTTGCTGAAACATCTTTACAGAAAAGGCTTTTCCACTCAGCTTTCCAAATCAATCTCCTCAAGAGCTCCAAACCTGGCCAGCTTTTTGGCAGATGTCCTCAAGCCAGCATTCAGGATGTCATATGCAGTGATGTTAGAGCCAGGAAAGAGGTTTGACTTTTATTCTACAAAAAGTGTCCAGGAGTCCTGGTAGGATGGGACAGCAAAGATCTTCAACAGATCTCATTATATGAATTGCCCCTCACATTATACAAACAACATGCCCAGCTTGAGTATGTCCCATTTTGTCAGAAACTTGATAGCATCAAGATGAGTAAAAAGTAACACATCAAGCCAGGGGATGGGAAAGGCCTCCCAGTGGAAAAATTACCCCTCTGAAAATGAATGTTTGAAATGCGGAGTTCTGGCATGTAGCAAGCAGATTTATCTCTAGGAATTCCCATTTACAGCATATTCCCCTGGGTGCCCAAGAAGTGCTGCTGATTTGCCAAGGAGCTCTAAAGGCCAGGAACATGTTCAGCATTTGCTGCAGGAGGATGATGACTGCACCAATTCCACCAAATAATCATGTTCCTGCTTGCCTCATGAAATAACACATAGCTGCAGTGTTGTTTGTCAGTACTTGTACTTCGGCAAAGGCAGGAATCCTCTGCATCTCAGATGGCAGACTCAGAGCGTTGCGACCCTTACTGAGCACCTTAAGGAGCTAGAGGTCTGAATCTGAAGAGGATTCAGATACTTCCACACAAGAATGGGAATTATCAAATAGAGATTTGATAATTACAGCTACACCGCTGTAGTTCAGGGACTTATTGTGGGAGATGTATACACACAACAGGCACTGAAAAGTTACTAAGATACTGTACTGTTTTCATGGACCTCGGAGGAAAGTGCGTTGGGCTACAAGGCACACGAGATTGCAGTTATGCTCTAGGAAAGGAGGTTTTAACAACACTTGCATGAGAAAAGACACACAGCTGAGAAGATGTACCATTGATTAGAATCTCTTTTGGGAATACAGAGTCCAGGTCAAGGAGAGAGCAGCAGTAATCAGATAAGACCTATGCTCCAAGTCAGATGATTTGCCTATTCACTTCAAAACAAAGATCTTTTTAATTATGTTAAATGAGTTTTTCACCCCTCAAAGTAAATTCCCTTTTAATAAGCTCAAACATTGAAACATGGATAGACAGGTACTTTCTGCTTCCTTCAAGGAAGCTGCTCTGACTGGAAAACACTTCCTGGACTGTTCAGTGTCATGAAAAAAAACAGAACAATAGCACAAACAGTATGTTCATACCAGAAATTTGAGCTGGGTGGATTGACAAGGAATTAAAAAAAATAAAAAATGTCAAGGTAAATCTTACAATAGTTTTAACACTTTGGAACTACTGTGGGCAGAATCACCATCCTGACTGCGAAACTGCACGTGAAGGTATGAATGTAGCAAAGGTTTAAGACAAACCCCTTGGTCTTCAAAATCCGCAATAAGAATAAAACCTCCTGTGCTGAAATAAATTCCATGGGGCCTCTTCCACTACTGCCAGGTCCAGAATTTTTTTTTTTTTTTTTTATTTATTTTGCATTTCTTTTGGGAAGGTTCCTTGAAAAGGTTTCAAGATGACCAGATGACTGAATGAGACATCCATTATCACAGCTGAACCCACCACTTGATGGCAAGCCAAGGCCAAGCTTCCAGAAAAGTAAAAGGTGATTGCCAATGTAAGGAGAAGGAAAAAACCAATATTAGTCCTATTAAATGCTCGCTTTGGTATCAAATATGATCGTGTAGGAGAAGCCTCCAATTCTGGAGCAAAGGCTGAGGATTATTTATAGAGGATTTTGTCTCTTCTGCAGTAGCTCCAAGGTTTGCAGTTAACAAAAACATTTAGCAACAAAGAACTGTCTGAAGGGAGACTATTGACACAAACAGTTCTTCCTGTGGTTAAGATCTAGTAATAACATATTTGAATCTTGTAAGGCGTGGAAGGCCTCACCCTTCTGCTGCTGAAAAGCTCACTGCTTTTGAAGATTGTAACTATTTTTTAGTCCTCTCCGGGGGTGCCCAAGGACTGGAGCCTTTATGATCTCTTACAAGCTATTATAATGGCTATGAAGCAACAACTGCAGTAAGTTACAGTCAGCCCTGCGCTTTTTCTAACCAGGGAATCAGTCCTTGAATTAGGACAGCCAGTTCCAGTAAGAGAACAATCTGACAGTGAGCCACCCTAATCTGGAGGCTAACCAACGATTACACCCACTTAAACCAGCTGGTTTCTTTAAAACTTTCTTTACCTACAGGGCCTATGGCTATTTCCATTTCTTAAATTACGCCTTCTACAAATTCCCTCATGGAATCCCTCCTGAACTCCTACAGCATACCCAAAGAGGGGAGAACAGATAGGTGGGAGATGATTCTCCATTACACCTATCAAAAGAAAACACCATACTTTCTCCAGAACAAAAACCAAACCCCACAACTGTTCTATGATGTATTATTGTAAGCTAAGCCTATGATGCATTATTGTAAGCTAAGCCATAACAGCGTGTTTTCAATAGCATCACAGGGGCTCCAAGAGATATTCCCCCACAAAACTGCTTTGGCACAGATGGCTGGGACACAACTGCTACTGAATAGTAGTCAGGAATTGGAGAGTTTTGCAACGGCACAGAGGACCAGGGAGTAGCCACTCCCAAGACAGAAGGTCCCAGGGTTCTGAGCACAGTAGCCTGAAGCACAGTTAGTGCCAGGGTGGCCAGCAGGGCAAAGTGGGTCTGTAATTTAAAGACAACCTCATTTAAACAAATACGACTGTCGATAAGGTACAAGTCTGATGACCCTTTTGTCCATCTAAAGGTATCAGGGAGCAAAATCCATTTCTCCACAGGTGCTGCTTCCAGTAGGAGATATCTCTGGAGAAGCTGTCCTAACATGAGAGCAAACTTTCACGTAGAACTTCACCATTCTGCAGCACAAAGCAAGAAAGTGAATGGAAAGGGTTCACATATCACGTTTCTAGGTATGAGGGGGAGCTGTCTCACTCTCCTGTGAAAGAGGGGCTCCAGACCATCTTCTACCTTTTGAAAAGGTACTGACAGAACAAAGTCTGAGCAAAACTTTTTCTCCAAAGCCAAGTGGGAACCGAGTTTGCATGTTATTACCCACAAGACAAAGTCTCAGATGTGGCAAAGCTGGCTTCTAGCATGGCCTTTGCAGCCTGTGCACAGAGGAACAATCTTGATACTGACCATCTCAGATACTGCACTTGGCTCTAGCAAAAGCAAATGGCAAAAATAAGGCATCTGCTTACCTCTGTTCTGTCTTGCTACCATAGACAGTGGTAAATGTCACAAAATCATATGCCTGCTCATATTTTAACACCCATGGAAGATACGCATGTACAGGAGGAAGAGGCCCTAAATCGTGTTTGATACTACTCTCCACAGATCACACATGAGAAACTGTAGCCCCAGATATGACCCTCTGTGAAAACCACACTTCATGCAGAGGGCAACACCAATGGACAGGGCAGTCACATGGCTCCCAACTCTAAAGATGAACTTCGGGGGACAGAGCACACCAAGTGGGAAAGAATCTCAGGAGAAATGAAGAACTGTCCGCTGGAGACACCAGCAGGATTACAGTCAGGCTCTCCTGACAGGCCACCCACCTCTCCAAGAGAAGCAGACTGGGAACTCTTCCTGATCGGATTTTCATCTGGAAAAAACTCCTGCCGGGCCCGACGGCCCATCTCTAGTACCTGTAGCACAGGAGGAAACGCAAAGGAGCAAAGGGCACATGGTTACTGACAAAAGCCCCTTCAGAGCGGGGAAAACCGCAAGCAGCAGCTCCTCCGCCACGCTGTGCGTGAAACCAGGCACGTTTCCCTGGGTAGTGCTTAAAGCCCTGCAGCGGTATGGTTACCCCACAGACAAGCCCAGCCCGCGGCCGGTGCGCGGGCTGCTCAGCCCTGCCTGCCGCATGGTCCCACCGCCCAGCCCCGCGGCGGTGCCCACGGGCAGCCCGGGCAGCTCTGCCCCCAAGCTGCCGATGCCGTTTCCCCGCCTCCGCCGCTGCGCTGTGGGAGCCGCCGGCGCTGAGCCCGCCTCTGCCGCGCTCTCATGCGAGCAGGCCGCGGTTACGGGCCCCTTCTCAGAGAGACCGGGGCCCGGCCCTGGGGTGGCCGCTCGCGCCCCGCGACCAGTAACAGCCAGCTCACACCGCGGGCAGCAGAGCGGCCTCACCGCGGCCCGGGCCCGCTCACCCCGGCAACAAGCCCCCGCCGTGGCGCCTCCGCTCGCTCCGGCTCAACCTCCATCCGCCGCCGCCGCCACCGCCGCCGCCGGTGCTTCCGGCAGACAGCCCGCCCCAGCAACCGCCACCCTCAGCGGCAGCGCCGCCGGCCCGCATCGCCCCGCGGGTTCGGCCTGCGCCGGGCCTGTCCCTTTAACCCCTGCGCCAGCCCCGGGTGCTGTACACATGGAACGCAGCCTGTGCCCGTCGGCGCCTCTCCCGGCCCCTCGGGGCAGCCCGGGGCCTGGCCCAGGAGCCGGAGGCAGCGGGCAGTCTGCACACCTGGTAAAGACTGGCTCATCACCGACGGCGGTGTATTGCCACGCTCAGTGCTCCTGGTAATCAGATAGATATCCAGCCCCGTTAGCGGTCTTGAAACCTTGGCCTAACAGTGACAGCGGAGCTACAGTTTCTCAGCACAATGCATCATGTAAGTACTCTTTGATCAGTTCTTAGTTTCACATGCGGTAGGGGCAGGGTAAAAACTGCCTGACGCTCTGTCTTCTCCAGCTCTTTACTGTATTAGTCAAGTTCCCACTAAGGCAGATAATCCCAGCCTTGTAGATCTGGCTCCTCACACAGTGTTTTTTCCAAGTCTCCTGATTGCTTCTGATGCTCTTCCCAATTCTCTCTAGCTTTAACATTGCTTTCCAGACAGAGCAGCTGGTCCCCAGAGCACTCAGTGGACGAATGAAATATAAGCTCAGCGATCATTACACGTATGCCTCTCCAGCTAAGTTGTGCAGAGATTTCCACTGAGCTGCATAAAACAACCCCTGGTCCCTTTCTTGGCTGGACAGATGCATAGATTAATTTTAAGTAGATCTGGGTTTAGCTCCACATGTTAAATAAACATTTCTTTCTCCAGTGCTTTGTCCATTTGCCTGTACCATTTCTGGTATCTGACATTCCTTAGGATCTTCACCCATCCTCATTAGCCTAAATAAGTGTCACCCATTTATTCATCTGCTACACTCAACAGCTGTAGCACACCACAGACTACACTGTTAACACTGTGCCATGAGAAAAATTGACTGCATCGCCCTAAAGTTTTCAGCCATCCAGGAACACCTTCCACTAAAGACCCCCCATCTCGCTCCATACCTGCTTAGCTTTAGTAGAAGTTCATGGACTGGGTGAAGAACTTTAAGATGTCTAAATAAATTGTGTCAAATAATTTGCCTTTTTTCCATTCCTTACTGACATTTTCAAGTAGTTGTGCTGTGACTGTGATGATCTAAGGATTAAGTTAAATAAGACTTGTGGGCAGAGGTAATAGGTTTTTATTAGACCAACTGATACAGCTGGAAAAAAAAACATACAAGAAGTGTTTCTGTGCCTGAAAGCTTATCTGTTTTTCCCAGCTACAACAATCGGTCTAATAAAAGATACTATCTCCCTTTACAAACCTTGACATGTTCAAGGAATTTGGTAAGTGAGATGTGATTTTCCTTTTTTGAAGCCAGGCTAGTTAGCCTCTATGAAGTTATGATCTTCCAGATGCTTTGTTCTTCTCTAAGATTCAAGTATTCATGAGGTACAGAGGGCAGTTTCCACCCCACCCTGTGCTTTACCACCAGGGCCATGGGGATATGTCCCTGCATTTCCTAGTTCCCATCTGCTCCTCAGAGGAGCTGCCGCAACGATGCAGCTCCATATATACTAAGAGGCAGAGGGGACTACAGCCCCCAGGTTGTAGTAGCTGCTGCAGGATGTCCAAGTACAAATGTACGCTTACAGCTGGCCTTCTTGATGGGAAAAAGAGCATCCTAAGAGCAGTGTGGTAGCACCCAGGGCAGCGTATGCTGAAGATGGAGGGCAGGAACTCTGGGTTTAGGAGTGCACTGCCAGCTGTGGCCACAGGCAGTTAGCTGTCCTGGTGTTCCTTCCAGAGGCAAGGTAGGAGCCGGTACCAGATGCCACCCTGGACAGACAGACTACAAAGCAGCAGGACAAGTGGGTTCACTTGTTTGGAACTGACTCCCCAGGTCCCTCCTCACTGTTCCCCAGGGTCCCCATCCCAGACACCACCCCACTAACACATCCCAGCTTCCCCCAAGGCACACTGTGCTGCTTGCTGCCCATCTCTGTGACAGGAATCTCAGGCTAATTGAAGGAGTGTGAAGTCCACATGCAGGAAAGAAAATGTTTAGGCATTTGGGGAAATCAAGACTTGCCTCAGACCTTTGACTTCTGACTTCAGAGATACTTGATGAGAGAGAATAGCAGACATGAGAAAGAATGGAACCTAAAATCTGTTTTGCCTTGAGTCCCTCTATACTCTTCCACTCATTGGAACCAGATGTGTCACCCACCCTGACACATTTTTGCCTGCTTGGGGAGAGCAACAATGGAAAAAAAGTTTTCATCCATCATTTCATGAGGTAGCTAAAATGGATCTCACTTGCTTTATACATTGGGGTTACCTTTTTTGAACAGATTAATTCTCCTCTGACCTACTGGTGACACCACAGGCAGCACCTGATCCTGAGCTTTGAGCAGTTCCACTCAACTGAGGAGAAGACAGCTAACAGGATGAACGTCTGGTGCTGCTGTGGCTGTCTAAAGCCATTTTCTGTGCCTGCTTCCTTTCTTATCCAGATCCGTGGTGCCAGGGTTTCTCTTTCCCAGTTTCAGGTGTGTTCTCAGCTCTCAGCCTGCCTTACTTGTTCAGTTTTTCAACTTACTGTTTCAGTTTTCCAGTTCAGTGAGTTTGCCTCACTGTAAATCACAGCACTGCCACCCCCTCTCATCTAAACAGCAAGTGAGAACTACACAGGCATTTCTTTCACAGACAAGTTCTTACACCTAAGCATGGACTCTCTCCATCTGGTTTCAACCCAAACCCTGTCATGCAGAATAGGACTAAGAGGGTCCACCACTAGTGGTGTTTGCTGTTGATTACTGGACTGGACCTATAAATAGAGCTTGTGTCTGATCCTCCTCCTATCTGAGAGAAAGCCGGGAGAGTCTGGGAAAGCAATCACACTTCAGCACTCTCACATGCTCCTGGTCCTAGACCACCTTTAGAGCAAGGGCATACATACATAGTTAAAGCTACAGCAGTGGTGGAAGGCCCACATGGTAGCACTACTGTGGGAGAAAACAAGGATCACCTTATTCAGAGCAGGTTTTGTTAAGCAGCAGTAGGATTTATGGGATGCAGGGCAATTCCGGTAGCAAGCAGTGACACAGCACTACGTCTTCCTTACCTAGTTTTCGCATCAGGCGGACAGCCAGACTCTGATTTCAACATGGGCCAGTTCATTGAAAACATTAAGCTTCCACTGGGAAGCAGAGCATTCAGCAAGGACTATTGCTGTAGCCTGCTCCACACTAGCAGCACACTGGCAGCACCAAGCATGTCAGTGCGATTTTTCTGCAACTTTTTTCTCCATACACCCCAAAGTATTTGGTCCATCTCTAAGGGTTTTTGGAGGAGGGAAACAACTGCAAATATTCTGTTATTTATGTGAGTTCCAGGACAAAATCTCTTAATAATTGCAAACCTTCAAACAGGAGGTTCCTCCCTCTTGAAGGTGGAAAGGGCTTTGATAGGCAGAAAAGGCCCGCACATTTGCATCTCTTGATCTCCACAAGAACAGATGCTGTTTGGGTTACATCAGCCCCAGTTTAGGCTGTCAAACCCCAGCCACTGTTGCCAAGTGTGAAATACTTCCTACAATACTCACACATTCAGTAGCCCTGCCGGGCTCTCCCTCAGCCCAGCTGGATTCCAGTGTGTCCAAGATGTGCAACCTGTTAAGAGACTGCTACTTGCAGCCACCAGTGGCGTTTCCAGCGCACGTAAGACTCTGGAGCTTTCCCACCTCCTCAGCTGAGAGAGAGCAATGCCCAGAGCAGAAATTTAACAGCCTAATACTGGAACCTGCCTCACACTGACATCCTTCTCCACTGTTATTTCCAAGCAGTAAGTCCCTGCTGCCAACTTGCAACCCAAAAGTCTGCTCTCAGCTATCAACAACGTAACCTTACATTTTGTACTACTGCATTTCATCCCACTTCTACGGTCTCAGCCATCAAAATTGCCTACCTGCTCCTATAGGATATCCCAGTCCTCCCCTGTATTTACAATGCTTGCCAAATTTGTATCAGCAGCCAATTTCATTAATACATCCATTTCAGTGTGCCAAGATCATTAATGAAAACTAGATCCAGGACCAGCCACTGGGGAACTCTATAATCTCTCATAATTCCTGTACTTATCTCCATCTTAACTAATAACTCACGATGCAGCACTGTAGCAAATGGATTACTGAAGTCCAAAGCAATCAGTTCTACTGCATTTAGTTCTACTGCATTTAGTGTGACCTCCAACCTGATGCAGGATAGAGGAGGTCCCAGAGCAGAAAAGCATCCAGAATTCATTTTAAAAGTGCTTGGGGAGCTCTAGAAATATCCATCCCAATCTACATAAAAATATTCCATGGATACCTAACAGCAGCCCTCAGACTTTGCACCTTACTCCAAGTCATGGTTCGTCTGACATCATCTTAGAGCCACTAGATCTTGTTACATCTCTGTCTGCTCCATCAAGGAACTATTATTCCTCTTCCCCAAGCAAAGCACACACAAACTGTGAGCAGCTCACCGTTTGGTCTCCTCAGAGCTGCAGGGAATGGGCTCACCAGGCATCAAGCACCCTGAGCTGCCCCATGATTTCCTCTGAACCTCTTGCACACTCCATGTCTTCAGTGAGGAGCTGGCCTCTGAGCTGGCTCTGCTCTCCCAACTCCACACTCCAAAGCAAGGCTTCCCGAAGCCCTGCTGGTGTTCCCAGCTCCTGGGGCGCACCTCTCCAGAGCAAGAAGGCCCCAGGACTTGCTTCTGCAGAGAGCTGTACCCAGCTCCTGCCTCACCCGCAGCCCTGCAGCAGCTGTCCCTGCCGCACCTTCCCACAGCACAGTCGGCCTGAACTTCATGGCTTCTTTTTCGGCAAAAACAGCCACGCTGGCCCCATCTGTGCAGGGCCGTGAAGCCATAAAGCCACCATCCTGCCCCAGAACACTTGAATGTTCAGGTGCCCCTCTGCAGGCCTCAGGAGAAGGGCTGGGGGGTGGGTGGGGAGTCACTGCGTGCCTGGGACAGCGTCTAGGTCAAGGCAGAAGGGAGCTCACTCCAGGGAGCAGGAGCCCTTGGGCTGCAGGGCAGTGGGCACAGGTGTGGCCTGGGACAGGGAGGAGGAAGGCTGGCATGGTGGGTGCCCATGATCAGGGCATGTCCCAGATAGGAGCCTGTACAGGCCCAGGTTATGGACCTGAACCCCAGTTGGGATGGTGCTTTGTCAGCCATAGAATCATAGAATCAACTAGGTTGAAAAAGACCTTGAAGATCGTCAAGTCCAACCATTACCTCAGCACTGCCAAGTCCACCATATCGCAAAGTGCCTCATCTACACATTGTCTGAACACTTCCAGGGATGTTGATTCCACCACTGCCCTGGGCAGCCTGTTCCAATGCCTGACTCCCCTCTCCATGATGAAATTTTTCCCAATATAAAATCGAAACCTGCCCTGGTGCAACTTGAGGCTGCTACCTCTAGTCCTATCGCTTGTTATTTGGGAAAAGAGACCGACCCCCACCTCACTACAACCTGCTTTCAGGTAGTTGTAGAGTGCAGTAAGCTCCCCGTTGAGGGCAGCGGGTGCCTGAAGCAGCCCTTCCCCTCATAGTGGGCTGCCATGGTGGGGACTCCTCGGCGCTGCAGCGGCCACCTGCCTCTACCCTGCCTGCCCGCTGCCTCGCCCTGGGGCCCGGCACTCACGCGGCCCCCGCAGACCCTTGCCCGCCCGGCCCCTCCCTCGGGAAGCACCGCATCAGGAAACTATTCGGGCTATTTTTAGCGGCTTTTAACGC